GATAACGCGATAGGGTTTGAAGTGAATGGTACTGGGTTCGAATCTCAGAGTGAACATCAACTCGGAGATGCAGGTACATCCAGTTGACGAGTCTCAAAGAGGACAAAACGTGCGTCCTAGACTCCACTGCTAAACACTATCCATCTTTGCTTAACGTGATATTTCTGAAATCTTATTCAGCTGTATTACTTATAAGTAACTAGTCTTTTATTACATATATAATTCTTTACGTCATATTGGATAATCATATATTTCCTTTTCATCGATTCATGTAATTAATGCTTGTCCAGACAATTTTATTTAGTTATCTGCATTTTTATAGCTAAGGGTCCATGCTTAGTATCAACAATTGGAAAGTTAGTCTATCATATGATTAAATGATACTTGAATACAGTACAAACAAGTTGCCTTTATTCAGATGAAACAGACAACATAAAGTATAGCCAATACTTGATAGATAATCTTCATAACGAACTAATACCGTAATAATTTAATCTGTCAAAAGTTATGTAGAATCTGAGATATGTATCCGGCCACTATCTCTTGACATATATTCGTCCTGAACGGATTGCATCGATACCTATCTGATCAGTCATAAATAAGATGAAACGAACGTATTGCATTTAACAGCTATCCAACATACTAAAAAAAATCTTTAACGTCTAGTTTTTCGTACTGTCATAGATATCACATTTGTCACTTTGAATCTTTCTATTCATCTCATTAGTTTCATAACCTTGTTATATAAGAATTTGAGTCGACATACATTTGTATCGGGTGGTACATCGACTATCACTGAGAATGGAATAGTGTGCTACCCTTAAAAGTTAATTCCTACAGTCTTTCACAGAATTGAACTCAACTTTCGTGATATTTGTGATACTTCTAAACTATTTAGTCGGAATATATAGTTTTAATTGAGTTAACTCATTTACCCGGTACTTGGGTTATGGGCCATACTCTGTGACGGTAGATGCTGTTGCCCAGTTGTGCAAATCAAAATAGATATGGCAAGGTTCGAACCTGAGACTTAGTGAATGAAAGTCGGAATATAACTGCTTACATTTGAAACTTTACCTAACAACTGTTTCGATTAACTGGAAATTATATGTATAATCGTCAATTAAGTCCATTCAGATATGGGGAGGTAATTTATTTAAACACATGAACATTGGAACAAGGAAGCACCAAATATATACGCCACATGAACCACCCGATTGGTGTGAGAGCTGTGATACTGTTCGGGTGCCCAAATCGAAGTAGGTGATCTTCGTAGAGGACCATACCCTGAGCCTTCGGTCTGAAGGTCTAATCCACAAGGCAATGGAGAAACGTTAGGAAATGCAGTCCTATGGTAGCCGGTGACTAATAATTGGTTCACACGCCATTTGTTCCTTCAAGATCCTGGAACCCATGTGCACCATTGTTTTTGAATCAGGGTTTTCCAACTCTTCTAGGTAGATGCACCATACACACGAACCCGGTTAAAGCGCCGGGCATTCGCTTTTCGTCCTCTTAGTTTCGTAAACAACAGTAATACCGCGAAAAGGCAGTGAGTAGGACTTCCCTGGTAGTGGCTGTATACGCATGGCCATGTGAGAGCATTTGGAGAGGGAGAGATGACTCTTTCCACTCTCGGCCGTACCAAGGTATTTGGGGGCGGGGAAGTATTTATTTTGTGACAGTTCAATTCTGATCTACAAATGAATTGAAATATTTCCATATGTCTACATAACCAATTATTCCTCGAATTGTTCTTAAAATATCAACGTAAATACACATAACTCTCACTTATGTGATTGATATTGTCGTTCCAAGTGACTGGGTACACAATGATTTGCTTTAAGATGGACGCAATTGGCAAGAAGCCTTGGATTCAACAGGTGTCAAATAGTATGAACTAACATTCAAGCTTTGCGACCGAATATGTCAAGCCTCGTAACATCATTAAATAGAACTAGATAATTTAGCATACTGTACGTATGCAATGGTGATAATATTGCTTGGTTATTCAACTTTTAATCACTCAATCCCAGTTATGAAATGTCAATCTAACTTATTATAGTTCTATGTGAAGTTATACATCCTTCTCTCAATGTTTAATAAAAATACGATATTTAGCTTCTTCGAGGACGTTTCCTCCCATTCACAATAATTGAGTACGATAGATAAAAAACATATGTTTTACTGTGGTTTTCATGTTAATCATATAAATTTCTTTACACACCCATCCAATGAACATGCTTTTCTAGTGTGTTCTAACTCACTGGATGAATATTCAGTCAGTCAGTCAGTCAGTAACAACGTAGAACTTCGTACGTACGTACATTAGTTCGAGTTGCCACACCACATTAGCACAGAGATGCACTTGTCGATTCAAATCCCGTAGTGGTAGAGGTAATAAGAGTATAAGCAGTAATCGGGAAGATTAGGGTTTGGAGATGTTATTTAAAGAGTATAATACAGTGAAAAAAATTTGGAAAGAGGAAAAAAGGGACATGAAGAATTCAGAAGATTAGAATTTGGGAGAACACAGAGAGTGGATGCACCTGCGCCATTGCAAACGATTTTGAGCCATGTCATTCAGGGTCTTTAACCATCGGTTGCTATCATCTCGCGGTCCCCAACCAGGTAGTCTACACCTACCAACATGACTCAGTTTACTTGTCAGTGACTTCATGGACTTGTGCCATGTTTTGGTTTGGCCGCCCTTAGCTTTCTTCCAACCTACTCCTATACCACTGAACATAGCACGTCGAGGCAGTCGGTCGTTGGGCATACGTAACACGTGTCCCAGCCATCTCAACTGATGAAGTTTCACCAATTCATCAATTGATTTGCCATCCTTACCTAGTACCCGTTTCCTAACAACTGTGTTACTTACTCGATGGTCCCATGATATACGAGCAATGTTTCGAAGACACCTATGATCAAATACTAGTAACCTACGGATATCCTCTACTCTTACCGGCCATGTTTCACTGCCATAAAGTAGGACGGAACGAACTGCTGCGCAGTAAACCCGTCCTTTGGTTGATAGACGGATATCTCGCCTACGCCATAAATGACGCAAGTTGGCAAAAGCTAGTCGAGCCTTCTGTATCCGTGATGAGATTTCGTCACACACCAGAAAACAAGGGCTGATGAGACTTCCAAGATAAGTGAAGCGGTCGACACACTCAACTACTTCACTCCCTATCACTAGTTCGGGTGTCGATGTAACCCAATCCTGAAGCAACATTTTGCATTTCGAGGGAGAGAATCGCATCCCGAACATGCTTGCATTGTTGCTTAGAGTGGTCAGAAGACTCTGCATTTTGTCAGCGTCTTCACCAAATAAAACTATGTCATCAGCATATTCTAAGTCAACAAGTGAACCTCCTGGTAGAAGTTCAACCCCTGTAAATTTAGATGAGGAAAGTGTCATCTCTAAAGCACATCAACGACAAGGTTAAACAAGAATGGAGAGAGTGGGCAGCCCTGACGAACACCACTTGAAGTAATCAATTCTGATGACAGTTTGCCATAAACTCTCACTCGGCCAGTTGTGTTCGAGTAGAGAGCCTTTATAAGGTTAATGTACTTCTTTGGTACTCCTTTCAGTGACAAACACTGCCATAGAACCTCACGATCAACGGAGTCGAATGCCGCCTTAAGGTCGAGAAATACTACCATTGTGGGGCGTCTGAATGTGTGTCTGTGTTCTAGAACCTGACGTAGTGTGAATATCTGATCTATACAACCACATCCAGGTCGAAAACCAGCCTGGTTTTCTCTAGTCTGCTCTTCACGAGCTTTAGTTAGGTGTCGAAGTATTATTGATGCTAATATTTTAGACACTATATTAGTCAAACTGATTCCTCTGTGATTGTCACAAGAGGAGTTTTGTCCTTTCTTAAAAACTGGCACAATCAGTGATTGAGACCAGTCAGATGGGATGAATATTGCATCTTGTGGACTGTAGATTAGAGAGCAGCGAATTATCGATCTGACCAAAGACGCGTAAAAAACGTAAGAACAATCTAGAGTCCTGATTGGTCCTGCTTCCCAGCCAGTTGAGTCCAGAACGCAAGTCTCAGCCTCTGATATATGAATCATTATATTTCAAGCATACTGAGTTTATATATCAATCAAACCGACCATAACGTACCAATAAAATATGAAACAACATTTGTACAAGGATTAGCCAGATGTGGCTGTGAATGTTGGAGGCAGTGACTAATAGACAGGGAATAATTCAAGAATGGTAAATCGTATAACAATAGTTCATAGGTCAAAGTAAAGATTAGAATAAGGAGGGCATGAATATGTATAGTTTAGTTGCATAACAATTATACGATAAAAATATACTCATAATATTGGTTCAGAAATAGATCCCAAAAATTACCATTCATTATTCTTATCAGGATACAACAATGAAAATCTTAAATAAGTTTAAAGTTAGAACTAGACATCTAATCGTCAATTTAAATTAATCTTATATGCAGCATTTATCCGCTAAATAAACGGAAAAATGCCTAGAAATGCTTGATACTCTACATGATCAGTTATAATAAATTCATTCTTAAGGTGAGACTATAATTTATGAATGATCTTTGATTGATGTTGAGGTGACCTTGAGAATGTCCACCTAATAACTAGGATCAAATGAAGGTTATCAATCTGTTTGAGGAATTCGAATTATCATTTACAGTTGATAATTAAGAATCAGATTTCAGGTTTTTCATCACGACCTGACATAAACTATAATGTCAAGATGCTATTTGGCCAAATTCTGGTTACGTTTTTTTTAGCGAGTTAGTTTTCTACGGGATGGGGCTTGTTAAACCCATGCCCAACCCTCCTCCTTTACCCGGGCTTGGAACCGGCAGTAACTCTAGAAGAGCTACAGACGGAGTTATTTAGCCAAACGGGTGAGTGAATTTCGTGAACAAAATCCAAGACCTCTTATCTTATTACCTGATGAGTTGGTTCATCCTAATTTATATCAACAATTCAAGTTCATATCAAAACATTTATTACAAATAAGAAACATCAATTAGATAATATACAGATTACAATAGTTGAACTATTCATTTCGTTTTAATCTCCATACATCTGATGCAAATTGAAATGAATCTAAATTCCAATCATGATTTGATTGTAATGAATTCATGAATGAATTCCATAATTGATTGACAAGATTTATAGTAGATTGTAAAAATTCATAATCTATCAAAATAGATATAAAGATAATAGAGAAAGATAAAAATTAAGCCTCAATTTAAGAAGGAATGATGGTAAATTCAGTTGATGAGATTGTGAATCTTTATCGACTGAGATGGTTGAGTCACGTGTTATGTATGGCTGAACACCGATTACCACGACGTGCAATGCTAACTAGTGTTGGAAATGATTGGAAGAAAGTTAGGAACGGCCAAACTAAAACATGACATCAGTCTTTAAAGTTACTAACTTCTGGTCTGATCCATATTGGTAGATACAGACTACTTGATTGAGATAAGCGTGACTATCGTAACCAATGGTTGGAGACTTTTGGTGAAATGGCTCAGAATCAATCACAATGACGTAGGTGTATATATTCTTAGTTTTCCCTTAAACTGTGAGATTTAATCTACTTTATACCTTTCTTTGTACAAATTCATTCTTCCTAGATGTATCATATACTATCTTGTCTTTAAACGTTATTACCATTTAAGTGACTACTTTTATATATTCGGTGTTCATTTTATTGTTCTAATGAGGTGTGGCAATTTGGACCGATGCCTAGTCCTACGTTCTAACTGATTGACTGACTGATAGATTGATCAGTGAATATAGTTGTTTCAGTTCAATAAGGAGATTATTCATTGGCTGAACTGTTCCGTGTTAAGATCTCTGGTTGATTGAATTCTATCTTTTTGCATAGGTGCCAACCAATTACGTAATCACATTTTTACAAATATATGACCCCATTTTCGCATACAAATATAAATAAATCTCAACCATAATATAGAATTTCTTTCCTTAGATTTTGCATTGTTCACATCATTATTTCAAAAATTTATAATGGAAGTATATAGAATGTTTATCATTAAACTCTTATTAACCAACTGGAAATCCAAACTGTTTATAATGATGATGATGATGATGATGATAAGATTGAATTGACAACGTGAGCCATTTCGTCACATCAAAGGATAAGACAATTAGTCACAAGATTAAATTTTAAGGTAATAGCTGGAGGTATTCAACAAGAAACTTCAAACATAGGCTTCGTATTATTTGGTACTCGTCAGTGAAATGTAACTGTAATCTTAGGATAGACAATACTCCCTAGATGATTCAATTCCGTGTCACTAGCTATAAAGTATCCTGTCGACTAGCTCTCATCAACAACTTACATGTCAATGTGGTGCAGGCGATGTCCAGTCGCTAAGCTTAGTGGCCACATTGTAAATTGATCAACAAAATTCGATCAACATTAAAAAACACTTGACATACATGATATTGGTTACAACCTAGTGATCAATCAACTATTAAGAAGAAGCTTTTCTTCTCTAGTAAATTAACATACTTATTTACAATGAACTGGCCCCAAAATGCCCTGGTATGACCGAGAGTGGGGAAAGTCACCTCTCCCAATCCAAATGCTCTCAAAGGGCCACGCGTATATAGCCTCTGCCACGGAAGTCCTACTCACTGCCTTCTCGTGGCAGGGGTGTTGTTTACGAAATTGAGAGGATGAAAAGCGAATGTCTGGCGCTTTAATCGGGTTAGTGGATATGGGCTCCAGTATCCTGAGGGGACAAATGGCGTATGAACCGATCGTTGGTCGCCGGCTATCATGGGATCGCATCTCCTTATGTTGCTCCACTGCCTTGTGAATTAGACTTTTAGGTCGAAGGCTCAGGGTGTGGCCCTCTACGAAAATCACCTATTTCGGTTTGATCACCCGGGCAGTATCACAGCCCTCACACATATCAAATGAGATCTGTGTGACGCATACATATTTGGTGCCTTCTTGTACCAATATCTATGTGTTCAAATAAATAAATAAATAAACAATGAACTGATCACTGATCGGTAATCAATATCATGTCAAGTTCTTTTTAGTATTGATCGAACTCTATAGATCAAGTTACTTATTTATAATAAGCACAAATATGATTAAACTTCATTTATATAAACAAGAGATAAGGGGATATAAATTTTGGTAGTTCGCTTTACTCACTGTCAGCTAATGAATTAAGAACTTCTGACTAATTAATATAATTTTTAGAATGGGTTTTGTGGAGATTTCTAGAAATTCCACTGATTGAAATCATGAGTTAATTGAAGCTAGAACACCATGGAAAACCTGGAAGCACTGGACGCCCGTCTCGTCCTAGTATGCGACTCCTCAGCAGTGCGCATCCACGATCTCGCACCCAGGACCTATCAGTCTCGCGCCAAGCGCTTAACCAACTAGACCACTGAGCCGGCATCCAACGGTGTTAATGTCTAACTTCAACTAATCCACGAATTTGCGCCACCGTACACCATTGATTTCTCACAACAGACCTGGTTGAACTCTACTGGTAACGGCTTACAAGTTTTCCATATTGGTCTAGCTTCAATTGACTCATGATTTCAACTTGTGAAATATAATTTTTGTTCATCAAATTAAAAGCAGGTGAATAAACAATGAGAAGTCAAAATCCATCTATGACTCTACACACATAAACATACAAGACCAAACTTAAAACTTTGTGGTCATATAGCGGTAAATAAATAATTCTGTAAGTCTTCGACATTTATAATGACCTCATCAGCTGAAGACGCTCGGTCGCGCATCCGTATCAGATCAACACTGGGTACACCATGCTACGCATTTCCTTACAACACTTCTCGACATACTGAATGCTTTCCAAATATTTCTTGAAATCCCTTCACTCCTAACTTTTAGTTTGACTGCATTTGCCATCCTTCAATTATAGTATTATGCACAAAAGTGTTATATCCCGATAAGCATAATCAACGGTAACTTTTGAGAACTATTTATATATTTTGTGTTGCATAATTATTAAGTAACTAAACTATGCATAGTCAAGTTCCTCTTCGTAAAAGCTTTATTTTGACTCATAGACTATTATTATACGATTTACCGTTCTTGAGTTATATCCAGTCTATGAATTACTACCTTCTACATTCATAACCACATTTAGCTAAATCTTGTACAAATGTTGTCTTCTGTTTTACGGGTACGATATTGCCTATATGCTTTGTATATAAACCCAGTATGTTTGAAATACATCATTGATATCACAGAGGCTGAGATTGATGTTCTGGACTTGATAGACAGAGCTAGATTGGAAGAAGAATCAATAAGGAATCTAAACTGCTTGTACGGATTTATACATCATTGATCTGGTCGATAAGTCACTGTTCTCTAATTGGCGGTATCATTATGTCATATATATGAATAGGGTACAAGACCACAAGTTATAACACAAAAGTGTTATCAAACTCTGAATAAACGTGACATCTTTAATCACAAAGTATAAGTACAATATCATTAAGTGTCAATTATAATGATGCTTATGTTTTATAGCTACGATATTTCTATATCTTTTTCAAGTTAACATAAGGTTAAACAAAATATTCGTTTCTATGGTAACATTGTATGCAATACAAAATCTAATCTAAAATATCTTATTTTAAATTAAGTTTAATGGTAAACAAAATGCATAGTATATATATATTGATACTTATAGATACATAAATAACTTACAATTTTTTGCTTCTAATATTTCTTTCAATATTTTATGAGGTAATATTGTTTTCAAGGGATACTACATAGCAACAAGAACAAAAACAGAAACACATCTAGCATATAGATGATGATCATTGACACGAATTACCTTTAATTAATCTTTATCAGTATACTAACTTACTTACTTACGCTTGTTACTCCTCGTGAAGGAGTATAGGCCGCTCAATAGCATTCTCCATCCAACCCTGTCCTGGACAATACTTTCCAGCTCGTTCCAGTTGTTATTCATCCTTTTCATATCTGCTTCTATTTTTCGGCGTAATGTGTTCTTTGGCCTTCCTCTTTAACACTTCCCTTCAGGATTCCAATTTAGCGCTTGTTTCGTGATGCGGTTTGATGATTTAAGTAATGTATGTCCTATCCACTTCCATCGTCTTTTCCTAATTTCTTCTTCAGCCGGAAGCTGGTTTGTTCTCCCCCATAAAAGGCTGTTACTGATGGTATCCGGTCAATGGATGTTGAGTATCTTGCGTAGACAACCATTTATAAACACTTATACCTTTTTGATGATGGTCGTAGTAGTTCTCCAAGTTTCAGCTCCATACAGTAGAACTGTCTTGATGTTCGTATGGAAGATTCTCACTTTTATATTGGTTGATAGATGTTTGTTTTAAGTTCCATATGTTCTTCAATTGTAGTAATGTGGTTCTTGCTTTGCTAATCCTCGCCTTTACGTCTGCATCTGAACCTCTTTGTTCATCGATGATGCTTCCCAGGTATGTGAAGGACTCTACATCTTCCAGAGTTTCGCCATCAACAGTGATTGGATCGCTGTTCTTCGTTTTGAATCTGAGGACCTTGGTTTTCCCCTTGTGTATGTTGAGGCCTACTGATGCAGAGACTGTTGCTACACTGGCTGTCTTCATCTGCATCTGTTCGTGTGTATGTGATAGGAGGGCTAGGTCATCTGCGAAGTCCAAATAGTCTGATTGGTTTTGAGCTGTCCATTGTATGCCGTGTTTTTCCTCAGATGTCGAGGTTATGGAAATTATTAAGTTTTTTGATTGAGATCCTGAACCGATTGGTGTTAGACCACCGTTGGGAACCTGGAAGCGATGGACGGCCGTTTCGTCCTATCATGGGACTCCTCAGTGGCAGCCCGCATCCACGATCGTGCTCGCAGGATTCTAACCTTCAGGGCCTTCAGTCTTGTGCGCGAACGCTTAATCTACTGGACCATTGAGCCGGCATCCAATGATGTTAATGTCTCACTTCAACCAATCCACGAAATTGCGCGACCATCTTTCATTGTACTGAGGTAGATAACTGTCTCTACCCGACACGGATTAGCTCCGCTGGTCACGGCTTCTCACTAGAACTCCAAGGATTCCCTCACGAAGCTAGTCACTATTGAGCACATGATAATTATCAGTATAGGGGTTGTGGAGATTATTAAGTTTTTGATTGAGATCATGAACCGATTGATGTTAGACCACCAGGAAGTTAAGCATTGGCACGCGAGACTGAAGGCCTTGGGTTCCAATCCCGCGAGCGGGGTCGTGGATGCGCATTGCTGAGGAGTCCCACAATAGGATGAAATGACCGTCTAGTGCTTCCTGGTTTTCAATGCTGGTCTAACATCAATCGGTTCATGATCACAATCAAAAAGTTTGATTAATCTGTTATGTCCCAGTTCGAGACTCAATACACAACAAGTCCCATAGAAGTCTATTGGTTTGAATTACTTTATAGTAAAAACTTGATTTGTAAAATCAAATGCCTTTGTATGACCAACAGTCATTTCACCTTTTCGAAACGCTCTCATATGGCCACGTGTATATATCCATTACTAGGGAGGTCCTACTAACTACCTTCTCTTGGTCGCAGTGTTGTTTACGAAATTAAGAGGACGACAAACGAACATCCGGCGATAAACATAGGTTGGTGGGTGTAGTGAACAAGAACATCAGTGGAGACAATCGAATGTATTTGACCACATAATTACAGAGCATCTCAATTAAATCTGAGAACCATATAGCAAATCGTTAATTTGTAAAATATCACTCCGTCATATCAAACTGGACTGTTCCTTTTGCAAACATCAATCCGTTGTCTCACATTTCATTGTTCATGCGTTTTCTCACTAATTGCATTGTGTTCCCGCTCTTTCTTTCTTGATCTGCCCCCATCTTCTGCTGCCAGACATTACGTTCCTATCTCGCGTCATATACTACGTATATCAATATAAGTATCACGCACCATAGTTGGTACGAATAATCCACCTAGGGGAGTTAGAAAACTCTGATTCCAAACCGAAAGTGGACATATGCTCCAGGATCCTGAGAGAGCAAATGTCATATGAACCCATCGTTGGTCACTGACTACCACGGAACTGCATCTTCTAAAGTTCCTCCACTACGTTGTGGATTAGACCTGTAGGTCAAAGGGTCGGAGTGTACCTGTTTCAGTTTGGCCACCCGGGCAGTATCCCAGCCTTCATATAGGTCGAATAATTTGTGTGACTCATGTCTATTTGGTACCTTCTTGTACCAATGTTTAAGTATTTAAATAAATAAATGTAAAATCAAAATCGCAAGGTGTTTCATCTATAAAAACATGTATCTTCAGTTTATTCTAAAAGTTATAAGTCAAGACATAATATAATATAAAACAGTTTCCAATAGGAACAATAAGATAACCAATCCATATGTAAACATTCAAAACATGTTTGAACTTGATAGAAATGTAGACAAAAATCATATTCAATTAAGCATATTACATACAAGAAAATAACCATCTCATTTAGAACAAACAAAACTATAAGATAGTTATCATATACATATTTTTATTATTGATCATGCATACTGTACTTTTTGTTCAGCCTGAGTTGAGCTTATTAGGTGTAAGTGAGGTTTCAATATATTATTTACTTTATTTATTTATTTTAACACATAAATATTGGTTCAATGAGGCACCAAATAGGTATGGGCCACACAAGTCATTTGACCTGCGTGTGGGCTGTGACACTGCCCGGGTGCCCAAACCGAAGTAGATGGTTTTCTTAGGAGGCCACAACCGGAGCCTTCGACCTGAAGGTCTGATCCACAAGACAGTGGAGCAACGTAATGAGATGCAGTCTCATGGTAGCTGGTGACCAACGATTGGTTTATACGCCATTTGTTCCTTCAAGATTCTGGAGCCCATGTGCACCGTTGGTTTGGAATCAGAGTTTTCCAACTCCCCTATGTGGACTCTCCATGTCCACCAACCTGGTTAAAGCGCCGGACATTCGGTTTTCGTCCTCTCAATGTCGTAAACAACACCCCTGCCACAAGAAGGCAGTGAGTAGGACTTCCGTGGCAGAGGCTATATACGCGTGGCCATGTGAGAGCATTTGGATTGGGAGAGGTGACTCTCCCCACTCTCGGCCGTACCAAGGTATTTGGGGGCTGCAATATATTAAAGTCATATTAGTGAACATTTAACAAGAGTAATTTTATGGTATTGAAAAAGTATTGTTCCTTCAAAGTTAAGTGGTTACAAAAATAAATTTGAGGCTAAATAATCAACTTTTGTTATAGATTTGCAATTCATTTATGATATTCGCTTATTCTAAATCCTTCACTTAGATTCAAGACTTTACTTGCCTACTTACTTATGCCTATTACCTCTCGTGGAGGAGCATAGGCCGCGAACACCAGTATTCAATTCAAGAATATGGAGCTATTTCCTAGAATGGTAAGGTGAAATCACTGGTAAGGCCATGGATACTCATTAGTAAGGAATCTTATATTACAACAAAACATCTATCCAGTGATTACTGATTTTCATTGATTGTCTAATTAAGTTAAACCCCTAGTATAAACTACATAATCACAAATAATTGACTAACACTAACCTTTACTATGAATGTTATCAATTCTACATGCAGCATAGCTTTGAGCTGATCCAAAGGTTTCGATTCAGAAAATAGAACGATATACATTGTCAATGGATTAATTGAGTTGCCTAAAAAAATAAACAAAGTAAATTTATACATTTTCAATGTACAATTACAGATTTAAATATCCGACTTTACTGTTGTTTTATTCACTTGGTGCTCTTTTACTTGTATCTTCCCATTGTTATTTAGGACTGCAATTGATCAATCTCTTGTTGACATATGCGCATACTGTGCGGATTGCCTCAATATTGTCTTACTTCACAAGCTTTATAAGCAAAGATGGATAGTGGCTAGCAGTGGAATCCCGTTTGATGCGCGTTTCTTCCTATTTGGGACTCGTCAGCTGGATATACCTGTATCTCAGAGTTGATATTCACTCTGGGACTGGAACCCAACTAACGAGTTTCAAAATGGGACGAAACGTGCATCCAGCATCCCACTGCTAGCCACTACCCATCTTTGCTTACGGTTGTTTTATTTAGAGAGCTAATAATACCTACTTGATTATCTAAATTTAAGTGGATGGAGAAATGTGCATACCTGTGACCTAATAGCTAAAAGTCGGATGTCTTAACTAATTATGAATCGAAAATATAGTCAAGTTTAAATTAGAGCATACGAATTATGGATTGTTTGTATGTTCACAAGTGAACAGGAATGTAAAGTTAGAACAGCCCTTTTTATATGTTTTCCTAACTATGGAAATGGATTGATTAATAGGAAGAAATCTAAATGAGAAAAGTAATTAGATAGGGAAGCAGATACATCTCCTTTACTTTGTACCTCTGATATGCGAAAAAACACCTGTTTGCTCTACTGAAACAATCGAAGAGAAGCTACAGGGCTTGAGTGACACACTTTTAGAAAATAGATATAACAGAAAGCTTATAAGCAAATTTATGGCCACAATAGTTAGAATGAGAGAAGTACAAACAATCAATAAGAAATCCTTGTTTATGAGCCAACAATTTAGAGGCAATACAGATAATAAACTACTGATCCAGAGTATACGTAGAACAATCGAGAGAACATTCAATCCCAGAAAACTATGACTAGTATTTTTCACGCCACTAATGATGATATTGAGATTAAAAGATGAACTACCTAGAATGTCCACGTTATTTTGTATTTATTAATTCAATTACTGTAAAGCGACTTATACTGACAGACGTCCTAGAGATTCACATTTTTGTGTTCGTCAACACCTTTCAGCCTGGTTAAACAAAGATATGGTTAAGACAGTGAATCGCACAAGTCTCGCTCATTTAAACTAATCATAGTCTAAGAGTAAATAATTAATTTTCAATAGCTTATCAAGTTAGTAATTTTCTATCAAAACCTCTTCTCTTACCCTGGTCAACTACAAACTCAATAAGTTAATAGTCATCTAACGTAACTCAGGTACATATAGCCTTTCCTTATATCTTACATAATTTAAATTTACGTTATTGAAATATCAAGAGATATTGCCCTAGAGTTCTAGTGAGAAACAGTGATTAGTGGAGTTCAACTGGGTCTATTGTAAGATAGTAACTCACTGAAAATAATGATGGATGTGTCGCTCAATTTCTTGGACTAGTTCAAGTTAGACATTAACACATTTGTATGCCGACCAGCTTAGTGGTCTAGAGGTTAAGCGTTCGCGCGTGAGACCGATAGATCCTGGTGGCGGGATCGTGGATGTGCACTACTGAGGAGTCTCGCAATAGGACGAAACAGCCATTGATTGCTTTCAGGTTTTCCATGATGGTCTAACTTCAACTGACTCATGATCTCACCTATTAAAATAGTTGATTGGAAATATTCTCACTGAATAGAATAGAATAATTGTATTTAACAAATTATACTAACTAGATTTGCTTTTAGTATATTTAGGGGGACTAATTGACTTGAATTGTACGTAGTAGTGGAGTACAGGATGCATACTTCATCGTATTTCTAACTCTACAGAAGGATTTACTTTCAAAATTCAAGCGTTGAATAGATGGTAATATTAGGTTAATTAGCTCAAAATGCACACATACCAATAGAACTTAATCAATTTCTGTCCTTAGTGTCAACTACAGTAAAATAAAAACTTTTACAAACAAAAACTGACTGACTGATAACTTAGTTTTAAGTATAAAATACAGAGATTCCACGTCCGGAGACAATCATGACATCTTATGATCCACAATTTTTTTATTTCTTTCAATTTGAGTTAAAATGAATCAATCTTAATGATAAGTTGATGTTTCGTATGTGGAATGGTTGGTATGTAGTATTAAGGAATTCTAAGTTAGGAAGAAACAACTGACAAGACCTATATCAAAAAGATATAAGATTTACTGTGAAATAGAAACATATATCAACTAATTATGATAACTAACTTTGAACTATATGACAGTTGAACTATCGAAGATTACAACAAGTTGGATTGAATGACGTTAAACTACATAACTGAACTAATGGCAAATGAATTAATGTGAATCAGTTTCTTTACTTTACTACGATAAACCGAAGTCGTACAAGTCTTTAATTTTATTCCTAATAATTCTATCCAGTGAATTGTAATAGATGATGAGTGTATATTATGGCCCACAAATGCCCTGGTACGGCCGAGAGTGGGGAGAGTCACCTCTCCCAATCCAAATGCTCTCACATGGCCACGCGTATATAGCCTCTGCCACGGAAGTCCTACTCACTACCTTCTCGTGGCGGAGGTGTTGCTTACCAAATTGAGAAGACGAAAAGCGAATATCCGGCGCTTTAACCGGGTTGGTGGACATGGAGAGTCCACATAGGGGAGTTGGAAAACCCTGGTTCCAAACCAATGGTGCACATGGGCTCCACTACCTTAAGGGAACAAATGGCGTATGAACCAATCGTTGGTCACCAGCTACCATGAGACTGCATCTCATTACGTTGCTCCACTGCCTTGTGGATCAGACCTTCAGGTCGAAGGCTCCGGGTGTGCCCCCCTAAGGAAATCATCTACTTCGGTTTGGGCACCCGGGCAGTATCACAGCCCTCACACATATCAAATGAGATCTGTGTGGCGCATATGTATTTGGTGCCTCCTTGTACCAATATCTATGTGTTAAAATAAATAATAAAATCAAGTGTTCTAGTCTATAATATAATTTACCAAGTAATATTTCGTCTTTTCATCAATAAATCGAAACTTTAATATCCATATTTATGATTAAATTATCACTACATACTTCCCTTGATTTCAATCTATGCAGAAAGTTGTGGATAGAAATTTACTAGGAAAATATGAATATAAAGAGACGGTAGAAATACTTAAAAGATTCGAACTCAAGTCAACCAACCAGCCATTATATCATACCTATTTTTATAAGTGAACTATGTCTACTAGCTAATCATGAGCATTAAAAATATGCAATAACACAGACTAAGTCTAACAAGTGATAACAAATAATTTAATGAAAATTTTATCATTCTTGGCATATGAGCATACTGTGTGGATTGCTTCGATATATCCATAATAATAATTTACGACTCGTCAGCTGGATGTGCCTTGATCCCAGAGTTGATGTTCGATCCAAGTGTATCCTTCTGACAAGTCTCTAATAAGGCAATACACGCATCCTCAATACCGTTAATAGTCATATTCCATGCATTTTATATTAACTAGTGATAATATAGTTACTTCAATAGTTGAATTCATGAGTCGATTGAAGCTACACCATCATGGAAAACTGTTGGAGTGATCCAGGAAATTTCTTACAAAAGACAAGCAAGGATCAGGAAACACTAAGAAGCGTTTCATCCAATCAGCGTTCACTTGAGGTTTCAGCCAAAAATATCAAGAAAGTGAAACGTCACGTGTAGAGGTTCTGATTGGTTGATTGCAATACTGCTACTATGTTAAGTAGCATACCAGAATCTTCGAGCAACCCAAGGATATTTAAAAGTATTATAAAACCCTATATTTTCTGTGTTAAAATGAACCTTTGAGTAAAGTACTTCTCGCATAATTTGCATCTTCTCTCTCGTTGTTCAGGTCGCTGTATAGTTCTAGCTTGGGGGTTACAGAATAGCTTAGGAAACGAATATAGCGTTCAATTTGCAAGACATTAAAAACGTGTAAGCACTGGACGACCGTCTCATCGTATTGTGGGACTTCTCAACAGTGCGTATCCACGATCCCGCCTCACAAGATTCGAACATCAGGACCTGTCGTTCCCACGCGCGAACGCCTAACCTCTACACCACTGAGCTGGTCGGCATCCGACAGTGTTAATGTCTAACTTCAACTAATCCATGAAATTGCGCCGCCGTACACCATTGTCTTCAGTGAGCTGATATCTCACAATAGACCCGGTTGAACTCCATTGGTTACGGCTTCTCACTAGAACTCCAGGAAATGCCTCATGAAGTCAGTCACTAATGAGCAGATGATTATTATCAAAAGGGTTTTTATAGAGACTTTATTGATTTCAAAAGTTGATCATGTTTAAATTGAAGCTAGAATACCATGGAAAACCTGGAAAGACTAGACGATCGTTTCGTCCCACTGGTCTAGCTTCAATTGACTCATAATTTCAACTATTGAAATTACTAAAATCTCCGCAAAACCCCTTCTGATAATATAGTTACTGCCTAAAATCAAAACACATATGAAAATGATGCATATATCTTATTACCACTGTTATCACCTTCACAAATACTAATAAGACACACTTAACAGGTTTTATGAATAAGGATAAGTAAATCATACATACATCTTTGTAACTGAACCTCTTAATGGAAATTAAACAATAATCGATATGTTTTGCGGTATTTCTGACAGTAAATGGTTAAATTTGAAAACATTTTAGACCATTACTCGTTGAGACGAGAGATGTACTCTAAAAAAAATCGAATTAGTTAATTGATTCCAATGTTAGATCAATCTGAAAAAGTCATCTAATGATGAAGTTCAGAAATACTGAGAATGAAGCAGTTGTTACCTTTATCATAGAATGGAAATTGAGCACCTTGGTTGTGTATATCGGGATTGAAACAATCAATAAACCAATGAGAAAAAAGAGAAACAACAACATGGTCAAAGGTCAAGCCATAGGGTAAGACAATCGAAATAAATAACCAGACAACTGCCAGTTATCAAATTTCAGGACAATAGAATAAGTTATTAATCGATTATGTAGATTAAAGTTAGGGGCGGCCAAACCAAAAACGTGACATCAGTGCTTGAAGTCACTAAATTCTAGTATGAGCCATGTTGGGAGATGCAGACTACTTGGTTGGAGACCGCGAGATGATAGCAACCGATGGTTGGAGACCTTGAATGACATGGCTGAAAACCGTTTGCAATGGTGTGCGCAGATGCATCTGCTCTTTGTGTTCTCCCAAATTTTAATCTCCTGAATCCTCCTTGTCTCTTTTTTTTTCTCTTCGCAAATTTATTTCACTGTATTATACTCTTTAAATAAAATCTTCAAACCCTAATGTTTCCGATTACTGCTTATACTCTTACCGCCTCTACCAATATGGGATTTGAATCGACAACTGCATGTCTGTGCTAATATGGTGTTGCAACTCGAACTGATGTACGTACGTACGAAGTTCTACGTTGTTACTGACTGACTGACTTTCTTTCTGTACTATAACCTTAAATGCAATATTTCTTTTATATATTACCATCATTGACTTAACTACTCCTATAAATCCGGCGTTCATCTTGCTGTGCTAATGATGTATGGTAACTTAGATCGATGCATATATATGCCTAGTTCTACGTTGTAGCTGACTGACTGATTGTGTAGATTACTGATATGATGTTATCTAGAAGAAGAAGAAAAAATCAGAGCCCTATCATTAAACTCTCCAATTTAAAGTATATAACTTCAATAAACGAATTAAAATTACAGTTTATCAATGATACATTTCATCTCATATTCTAAAACTATAAGAGAGCTGATTAGTAGAAAAACAAGTACAAACCTTGTTGAATACATTCCCAATTTGAACAATACAAAATGTAATTGTTTTTCTCACATAATCGTATCAAATTGGGTAACAATTTCTGTCTATAGAGATATATGTAGAGTAATAGAAAACAAACAAACAACAAATATGTATATCACATTTAAAATGTATTATGGATACAAACAAAATTGTTTCTAGTTATGCAGAAATGAAAATTGCTACAATTCAGCATAAAGTACTTATAAGCATATAAGTAGTACATTACATTCAATTCACTTTAGAAATTTTGGGCCAGACATAAACATAATTAAAGGTACTAAATAGATGATTTAAATCGAAAACACACTGTTGACACATTATAGCAATGGTATGATTTTTTATTGTGAATTTATTTACATACTACTATTAGTAGACGAATAATTTCACAAAAAAACATCGCTTATTTATTTATTTAAACGCATAAACATTGGTACAAGAAGGCACCAAATAGATATGCGCCACATAAATCATTCGATTTGTATGAGGGGCTGGGATACTGTCCGGCTGCCCAACCCGAAGAAGGTGGTTTTCTTAGGAGGGTCACAACCGGAATTCTTTGACCTAAAGGTCTGATCCACGTGGCAGTGCAGCAACGTCCCATGATAGTCGGTGACCAACAATAGGTTCATATGCCATTCGTTCCTTCAGGATCCAGAGGCCTATGTGTCCTATTGGTTTAGAATCAGGGTTTTCCAACTTCCCTAGATGGATCCTGCATATCCAGGAATTTGGTTAAAGCGCCGGACATTCGATTTTTGTCCTCTGAATTTTTTAAACAACACCCGTGGTGCGGGAAGGTATTGAGTAGGACTTCCCTGTCAGTGGTTGTATGCACGTGGCCATGTGAGAGCATTTTGAGAGGGAGAGCAGACTCTCCTCACTCTCTGCCGTACCAGGGCATTTGAGAGCTAAATATAGAGTGCTCCAATGATGAAATTCGATTATGTAAACGCTATTTCCTAATATTTTACAGTAGGTTAAGATATAATACAAAAATTTCAGTTAGGATGTTCTACTCACTACGTTTTCATCAAGTAAAACTTTAAAGCAAAGAAAAATAGCCATATACAATGAAGACTTACCCTTCAATAGGTAATTTATACAATGAACAACCCATTATAATTGTAGGTTGATCAGTTTTATATAAGATAGGTTCACATTCATTAACCCATATAACATGTGGAAATGATTTATTCATTAGAAGATATTCAGGTATTTTATTCATATCATTATTACTGTTATTATTTGACATTAAAACATGACAAAATTGTTGTTCAAACCATTGTTGTATAGCTAAATGAAAACGTGTACGATTGAATGTTCGTAATTTTAAACATTTTACAGCACGATAATTGGAATATAAATGTACAATAGTACAACAAATAAAACAGAACCAAATACAGCTGAAATAAAAGAGAGAGGGAGAGAAAATAATTAAGAAATCAATGAAAAGGATTTGAAGGTAAAAAAACAACTTACAATACAATTGAGCAAATGTAATCATTAAACATGTAACTTTTTAAGCAAACATGGATAATGTCTAGCAGTGGAATCCAGTTTTATGCGCGTTTCTTCCTATTTGGGACTCGTCAGCTGGATGTACTTGCATCTCAGAGTTGATATTCACTCTGGGACACGAACCCAGTACCGTTCGCTTCAAACGCCATCGCGTTATCCACTTAGCTAGTGAATCCTGACAGCCAACTGCTTGTGCAATGGATTGAAATCATATTCTATTGGTGTTGTTTTACTTGCATCTTCCCATTGTTATTTAGGACTGCAATTGATCAGTTTCATGTTGGTTTGTAATTTAAGGCTATATCGAGGGTATCTGCAAAGGATGCACATATGCCAATATGAGACTGATCAATTGCAGTCTTAAATAACAATGGGAAGATACAATTAAAACAACACCAAGTGCATTTATGTAACTTTGGAATTTCACAATTGTCTAGGAGTAGAATTATTAGTAAGACCTAGAATTTTTGGGCGACCTTTGAGCGACGCTAAAGTGATCTTGAGTGTGTTCACCTAATAATTAAGACAAAATGAGGGTTATAAATCAGTGTGAGGAATCGGAATTATGATTTACAGTTGAATGTTAAAGGTTAGGAATTAAATTTAGGGTTTTCATCACGAACTGACATCATCTATAATGTCAAAACTCTAAATGGATGAGTGAGTTTCGCGCCAAAATCCGAGACCTGTCATCTTATACCTGATTGGTTCGTCCATAAATTATAGTCTCACCGAATTATTCACAATAACGCTTAACATAATTATGTAATGCTAGATTCTTCTAAGTATCTACTGAATCCTTTCATGGATTCTAACTCAATGATTGAGGTAGATGTTAAATCTCGGAATGAAGAGAACAAAGAGTCTTACTCAAAGAAAATTGATTATTGCGTTAGAGTCCTTAAAAAGGGCTCAATACTAATTTTAATTTATCTTATGAGTTTGGTTGTGGAGCTTTCATCATTCTTCTGAACGACATCATCAACACAAACTTCAGGTAGAAGTGAAGTGTTCAAATTTCACCACATATAGTTCACAGCTTGTCCTGTACACCTCGATGTTGATTGTCCACGTACATGCATATTAGACAACTGCGAACACATATTCGACTAGAAAAATGTGGAGATATTAGATAGAGACAATTCTAAAAACACCTGAGAATTTGTAGAAGCTTGGTACTCAGGTCAATGAGCAATCAACAGGCACATTGAAATCGATCCAATTTATCAACCAATCAGGAAAATTATAGGCAAACATAGGAACAAAAATCAAACTAATGCGAGATACAACCAAAACAAAAAATTAAACAATGACAAATTTAAGGTCACTAAGAACCAATCAACATCGAGGTGTACAGGACAAGGTATGAACTACACGTGGAGAAACCCGAACACTTCACTTCTACCGGAAGTTTGTGCTGATGATGTCGTCCAGAAGAATGATGAAAGCTCCACGACCAAACCATCCAGCTCAGAGAACAAAACTCCATCAAAAACTAAAGAAAATAGCTTTAAGTTATATTATTTAATTTCAGAATACATTTACGATTAAATAAAAATCGTATTGTATTGTTAGTTCATTTAAATGGAAGATTATGGACTGTTGGATTTTCACAATATGATACCCTACTCGTTAGATTAAAAAAAAACTTGAATTGTTTTAGTCTGACGTATGTCATATGTATGAATTATTAAAATGTCATAGTAGAATGTAGCAGTTATTTAATTGATATAATGACAGAATAAAAATATTTCCTGTTTGACACAATATACTACTATTATACGATAGGTAACTGAGATTTTACTACCATAGACTAGATATTCAATCAATATGCTATACACAAACTTGGATCACAATATACAACAGACACATGCTTCTTGAACAAAATAAGGAAACAAGCAGTTTACACTTAATGAGTTCAGAGCAGAAATCGATAATAGGAAGGAAAGTACCCCCCCAGTTACACCCCCAAATGCCCTGGTACGGTCGAGGGTGGGGAGAGTCAACCCTCCCTCTACAAATGCTCTCACATGGCCACGCGTATACAGCCACTGCCAAGGGAGTCCCAATCACTACATTCTCACAGCGAGGGTGTTGTTTACAAAATTGAGAGGATGAAAAGCGAATGTCTGGCGCGTTAACTGGGTTGGTGGATGTGGATGATCCACCTAGAGAATCTCGAAAACCCCGATTCCAAACAAATGGTCTATATAGGCTCCAGGATACTAAGGGAACAGGAGCGTATGAACCATGGTTTGGATACCCGGGGAGTATCACAGCTCACACACAAATCAACTTACTTGTGTGGCGCATACCTATTTGATGCCTCGTTGTACCAATATTTATGTGTTTAAATAAATAAGGAAATTACACATTAAATATTCAGAAACTGGATGTCTATCTGTTCATGTTACGTGGTCAACCACTCCTAACATTTACTAGCTACACATCTTTAGAACTACTTGATTTTTGAGATATTGTTAGCTTGTGATGAAAAATTCGGTCTTATTACCATCTCATTTTATTGCTATTAAATTATCACGATTTAAAATAAATGGATAACCTGTTTCATAGTATTACATTATGCAGTAACTTAGGTTCTGGCGAGGAGCTGTAGCCAGTCAAGTTTAGTCATGTCGGAGCTCAGACAAATATCATCGATAGTAACAAGTGCTGCACAGAATTTTCAAAATTGAACACCCATAAATTTATGTCTATATGTAGATATTAATATTAAATAAACAGATGATAGAAGCAAATTTATAATATCACTTACAATTGATTACCGGTCACCATATATAACAAAATAAAATTAAGTAACCATGCCAACAAATTAGATAAGGTTTCCTATATGAACAAAAAGTAAATAATCTTAAGAAAATAAACTTTTGTCTATATGATATTACATAAAAGAATTGAACTGATCTGTAAATATATTCATGACTCATGATCTCAACTATTAATATTACTATAATCTCCACAATACCCCCTTCTGATACTAATCAACATATGCTCACTAGTGACTGGCTTCAAGAGGTATATCCTGGAGTTCTAGTGAGAAACAGTGATTAGTGGAGTTCAATCGGGTCTATTGTGAGATAGTAACTCATTGAAAATAATGATGGATGTGTCGCTCAATTTCGTGGATTAGTTGAAGTTAGACATTAACACAGCTGGATGCCGACCAGCTCAGTGGTCTAGAGGTTGAGCGTTTGCGCGTGAAACCGATAGGTTCTGTGTTCGAATCACGCGAGGCGGGATTCTTGAATGTTTAGTATGAATAAACGATATAACATTCTAACCAAAATGCAATTTTCTATTCACACTACATTAATTGTACTTCTAAATCCCGAAGCAAACTTCCCCCCCATACATTCAAGGTGTTTTATGCATTTCATTAGCGTATCTACAAAAAATTTATTTCATTAAATGAATGCTCATTGAATGGTAATACTTCATGGGTCTTGCGCAGGATGAACTAAAACTATGAGAAGTTGGTCTGAAAAATACAATGTATTAAAGCTGTGCATTTCCAACAATCTGATCACACATGTATTTGTTAAGGAATTTTATATGAAAACTTATAAAGATCAATTAAATGACAGCTCTATGGCTACTTCTAGTGTCTGTCTGAAAGTTATGCTGTTTGACTTTTCTCTAAACGGTAAAGAGAATGACTGAATTACATCGATCTATAAAGTTCAACGGGTAACCGTTTAATATCACTGTTTCAGTCGGCAGTTTTGAGTCTTCATCAAACGGTTCTGTAATGCATATTCGTTGAGTTCTGTCGACAACTTACTTTACCAAGCCTTGTTTGTGCTACAGAAGACAAAAACTGTAGGTAAATACTGCAAAGTTCAGGTCACCTTCCTATGAACCGACTGCTTTATATTCCCATCTTTCCCTTGGCTCAAAAGTGTGTCCAGTAAGGGTAATTTGTCATTATTTTCTTACTCACAAGTACGATATAATTCTGTGAACAGTTGGATGTATCTAATAACTGAGAAGTATCGAACTCTATCATATGCGGCCAGTATTTCGTCGATGCGTCACCTTAACAGAGTCATCTCGCTGATAAGCGACGAACAAAATTACAAAGCATCTTATTAAAATATGAAAACCATACACTGATTACTCCATTTGCAGATTTCCATCATTTGTCCTTTACATTTCGCATGATTCTTCAAATTCACAACTCCTTTCTATTCTCATTGACTTGATCTTCTTAATCTTCTGCTGCCAGGTTTTCCACTTCCGATTGGTGTTACATACTACTTATGTCCGTCGACATAAGTAGCATACACCACAATACAATTATCACTTTTTGTTTATTGTTACTTTTTATGGAACTGATATTGATATGTTTCTGTATAAAATGCCTTGAAAAGTATAGATGTAACCAGATGGTTAGAAATGTACAGCTTGTGTATATTACACTTTTCAGATTAACTCTATCATCTAATTGTTTTATCAAAGCGACTAATTGCTTTGAATGAAAAGTAGTTATATTAATCTTAACTAGTTCAATAGTACAATTCATAGAGTTGCAAGTAAAATAAAACTATATGGAAAGTATAAAACTAACCTGACTACCATCTTTAGCTGATACATCAGCTAAATTATTATTGATCGCTTGATGTTGAACAATAGCTGCACGTGTTGCACTACCAGCGACACCAACTAAAGACTTTTTTGAAAGAAATGAAGTATGTGTACGTTTGGCATAGAAGTTATGTAAAGATAACTTAATTTGATAGTTTATATTCCCGAATTAATTTAAAATGTGAACCATTGAATACATAGTGCAAGACCCCTTTACAAACTTCAACATACAGTCTGGCCAGGAATCAGATATTGGGGTCATTAAGATTTAAGCCGAGAGCGTCGACTTCATACTGCTGAACAATCATCCACAGTTGATACAAGCTATCTTTAAAATATGTGTCTGGTTAAGTAATTCAGAAAAATAATGAAAAAATTACAGGTAGGAACGATACTGCACATATATACATCTACTATAACCATACAAGTGTTTTTACTCTCAACCTATAATGTGGAATACAGTGAACAATAAAATGATTTCCAATTAAGTTAAATACTTTTATTTAAACTAAGAATTTTCAACGAAATGATCATTTTCATGATAAATCGATTTGTGTTGAATAATCCCTGTATGGATCGGAAACTTGGAGAACTACGAAAGCCATCTTCCCGAAGATACAAGTATTTATTTACAATTGTCTACACAAAATACTTCGGATCCGTTGACCAGACACTATCAGCAATAACCTACTATGGAAGAGAACAAACCAGAAGAAATCAGGAAGAAGCGCTGGAAATGGATAGGACACACATTGAGGAAAGCACCCAACCGTGTCACAAGGCAAGTCCTCACATGGAATCCTCAAGGTAAAAGAAAAACAGGAAGACCAAAGAACATATTACGTTAAGAAATGGAGACATACATGAGAAAAATGAACAAAAATCGGATAGAACTGGAAAGGAAGGCTCAGGACAGATTGGGTTGGGGAATGCTGATCGACGGCCTATGCTCCATTAGGAGTAACAGGCGTAAGTAAGTAATGCCTGGAAATTGAAAGGAGATAGGATTGACAGTGTTATAGTAGTAATGTTACAAAAGATGAAATTGAAATCAAGACCTTTATGATTTGTTGGAGATATATGGTACTGAACGTAATAAGATGAATTTAGATTATCCTTAATTTCATTACAAATAAATATAGATATAATTCGAATAATCTACTGGAATCACATAAGCCACTACTATTCTAATGAATCAGTAAAGGTTCATAAGGTAATCTCACAGGATACAAAGTGATTTAAAACAAGAAAGATGCTGATGTATAATAAGATACACAGATAAACTGAAAGATTCCACCAAGTCAAGAAAACCTATTCAAGATCAGATATTACTGGATAGATATTTCGTTTGAGTTTGAGATTCAGTAACAGTATGAACTGATGGACGTACAAAAGATCCAAGTGTGCATTAATTAGTAACCGAGTAATAACATATGTCATGTTCGCCTAGTCCTTAATATTGATTACTGCTCAGTAAGCAGTCAGTGTAAGTTTCTCAACGCGACAGGTCAGTCGATGACCGTATAGCTCAGTGAAATCGGATAAAACAGGTTCTTCAGTTGATGTTGGTTCGCGGTCAAAAAGTTTAACTTTATAATATTAGTACAAAAGACCTATATCAGATATTGATGAAAGTATATTTCACTGATGATCTTGAGCGAGCCATGGGGCAGCTTCGAGAAAGTAAAGTTAATCTTCAGTCAACCAAAATTCAGGTGATATGAATAATCAATTGGCAACATAAAAACTCAAAAAAGTCAGCGTTAGAAATTTTAGTTTTGATTTGGAGTTAGGGGTTGACCATTTGGAATCAGGTGTAATAGTTAGGAATAAAATGTGAGCTGAACACGGTATTTTTGAAGTTCCATATGAACATGGACTAATAATAACTTCACATTTTTACTGTTTACTGAAAGAATTGATGGTAGATAGTCATTGAGTAACAGTATACTCTTCAAGCAAACCAATCAGATTTAAGATAACGGTTATTTGATTTTTGCGCGAAATTCAAAACGCGATGGCGGGTAGCTTGTGTTTATTGAAAACCAGGAAACACTGAACGGCTGTTTTGTCGTACTGCGATGCTCTACAGGAACGCACATTCACAAATTCACTGAGGGTTGGAATCAGGAGCTTTAGGCCACTTTCTGAGCTCTTAACATTGGTATTTGATAAATTACACTTCTGACTTCAATCAACCCACGGGCTTAAAAAGGACTAACTTCGAGCGGTTACTTCTTGGTTTCTGGTGAAAATATGTAAGCAGAGATTAGTCATGTCAGCATTCAGACAAGTACCACTAGTAGAAACAGATATTTGTTTATTAATTTAAACATATAAACATTGGTACAAGGAGGCACCAGATATATGTGCACCACACTTCATCATTCGATTTGTGTGAGGGCTTAAATACTGCCCGGGCGCCCAAACCGAAGTAAGTAGAAACGGATGACGGTAGCAGAATATCACAAATTGAATGGAGTTAGAAATGAAAATCATTGGGTAAAAGCTCAGTAGTCTGAATGTGAAAGAGTCACAGTGAGGCCTGAAGGTGATGGGGTCGATACCTAGTGGGGCTAAGGGAGTGTAAAGACGAACTCCATACCAAAACAAAACCAGTGACTTTTGATTTTAAATGGTTCTCTTAGGTGAACCCGTAGTGTAATACCGAAACATTTAACAATATCCACAACATCCGATAATAATAAATGGAACCATCGAAATTCATAGTGCGACCCAAAAAATAAAATTAAGGTTTAACCCTCTATGAACAATTCAAAGAACAGAAAAGTTAGCAACAAAGGGATAGGGTAGACAACAGAATGCATCCAAGCCAATATGAATAAATATGAATTACCTTAAGTACATTAGCAAGACAAAGTAACGGTATGAACATATGATTGAATAGTGGAGAAATTAGTTCAAGGAATAAAGCACAATCGTTTAAGATATCAGCAACAAATCTATAGAAAAGTAAAGGAAAAAATGAATAACTAAGAATGATAACTACTTCAAGACACATATTGATGAACAATAAAAAGTAGAGTTGACATCGACCAGTTTTCTCAAATAACCAATCTTTGATTGACAAACAGTAAATATATAACAGGTATATTTCACTGTTAGATGTTATAATAGACGACTTTAAAACAGTTTGGTAGTTTGACGTAACTAAGTTACCTAGCATTTAAGCATTGTTCTGTGTGAATGCTGGTGATACGATGCAGTTGCTTAAACTAAATCAAATAGAGTGGGTATCGAACCTCAGACGTAATGCTCAAAAGTTGAGTATTGTAATCAACACAGTTAGATACTATACACAGTTGAATAGTCAAAACATTTTCAACTTTTAACCCCGTTAATTCACACAATTTAACGTATATCCCTAATGTCAGTTGACTTACATATTCCTATTGTAAAAAGTGGTTTCGCACCCTAATTAAGCCAGAACACAATTACTTGATTGATAGATAGGTAGATCGTCATTATATTAGATCTATGTTGGCCGACTAGTCAAATATGCTTTGAAGTTTAGAATTATCATTGCTTAGTTGAAATTCGATTGACTTAATCATCTACTGATTTAAAGAACATAATTATGTTTCGAAATTATCAATACATATACTAGGAAAGTAACTCTTATTATTGGGATCATGATATGATCAGTGTTATACCACCATTGAAAGTGTGGGGACACTGGACGGCCGTTTAGTCCTAGTACAGGACTCCTCGACGATGCCAACTCACAATCCCGTACGTGGGACTCGGACACAGAGCCTTCAGACTTGATCGTGAACGCTAAACTTCCAAACCATTGAGTCGACATTCAACGGTGTTAATGTTTAACTTCAATCCACTCACGATATTACGCCACTAGCTCCAACTGTCATCAATGAGTAACTGTCGCATAACAGACATCGTCGAACTCCACTAATCACGGTTTCTCACTAGAACTCCGAGAATTACCTCTTGAATCTAGTCACTAGTGAGTACATGAGTGAGTTAAATATCAAATAATGTTCATAACATAACTGCTTACCTCCAAAATTTGCAATCACAGTCTAATTTAATTCTACAAGATAATAAGTAGTATCATATAGTTAATTTTAAGAAATCAATCGATCACTACCCATGATAACCAGCAAATATAATTCTTCCAATCATACCTGAACCATCTAGAAAATCAAAAATGAACAATAATGATATCATTGATAAACTTCACAATTCACAGTACATTTTAACTAAGTATAATCATTCTTTCTTTTAACTTGTATAGTTGACGATTACCCGGACCAAACAACTAAGAGTTTTAATGAAACTCAGAGAAAATTCATAGAATGTTGAAGTTCTTTTGTAGATAACCTATTAACAAAAACATCTCTTTTCAAGAAGACCAACAATTCAAATGATGACTGTAATGACTGCAAAGATGATGGAAAAGTATGACAAACGCTAATCTTGTGTTTTAATAAAAACATCAAACATATTCGATTGCCGATTTACTGTTCAGACTATTGCTGATAAACTGAATTCAGCAAAACTGTCTGAGTATACGATTATAGCGAAGCATTTCAGTTCTGGGTTTGAGTCCCAGAATGAGCATCAACTCTGAGATGTAGGTACATCCAGCTGATGAGTCCCAAATAGGAAAAAACGCTCATCAAACTGGATTTAACTGCTAGCTACTATTTATCTTTGCTTATAAAGCTTGTGACTTCAAACAATATCGAGGCAGTCCGCACAGGATGCACATATGTCAACACGAGACTGATCAATTGCAGTCCTAAATAACAATGGGAATATACAAGTAAACGACATCAAGTGAATATAGATAATTGGATTCAAAAATCAGATATCATCCTCTAGAAATCGCAAATAGGAAATTTTTACCTCAGTTCTAACAGCTAAAGTTATTCTTCATTGTATACGACACAGTACAATGTTCACTTGATGACTGCATTTATTACCGTTCCACTTAGGGAGAACACATACATATATTCACAACTCAGGCAGTCAGTTACAACATGGGACCAGGCACATACATGTATCAGTCCAAGTTGCCATACCACATTAGTACAACAAGATGAACACCGGATTCATAGAAGTAATTGATTCAATGGTGATAATATTTAAAAGAAAGATTGTATATAATGAAATAGTACAGTAAGAAAGAATTAGTTCGTAGAAAGAAAGATATGAAGCGATTTTAATCTCTTAGTTTAAGGGAAAACAAACAATATATACACCCACGCCATTGTGATCGATTTTGAACCATGTCACACAGAGTCTCCAACCATTGGTTATGATAGTCACGCGGATCCCGACTAAGTAGTCTGCATCTACCAACATAGCTCAGACCAGAATTTAGTGACTTCAAGCACTGATGCCACGTTTTGGTTTGGCCGTCCCTAACTTTCAACCATTCCCAACAATAGTCAACATTGCGCGTTGGTGTTCAGGCATACGAAACACGTGGCCCAACCATTTCAGTCGACGAAGATACACAACCTCATCAGCTGATTTGCCATCATTCCCTAATTCTCTGCGTCTAACCTCACTATTACTTACCCGGTGATCCCAGCAGATGCGAGCAATATTTATAAGGTATCTGTGGTCAAATACTAGTGACTTACGAGTAGCTTCTACTCTTAATGGCCTTGTTTTGCAGCCGTAAAGTAAAACAGAACGAACTGCCGCGCAGTATACTCGTCCCTTAAATGATAGACGGATATTTTGCCTTCGCCATAGGTGACGTAAGTTGGCAAAAGCCAAACCAGCTTTTCGAGTCCGTGCTGAGATTTCGTCAGGTACCAACCCATTTGGGTTGATCAGACTACGGTCGGGGTGTACACTGATACTTTTTCACGATTTCACTGACAAGCTTCAGTTTGTATTGTTCACAGAGTTTTATTGAGAAATTGAAAGTTACAAAGTTACACAACGAAACCACCAATAAAAAAATTTAAATGTTATAAAATATTTTAAAATAATCAAATAAACAACACCTTTAAACATCCACGTTAAACTAGCACTTAATATAGTAGCTGATGAGTTCCCAACACCTACACCGATTAAAACTGCTTGTGATGCAAGAGCACCAGTGATACTGCTGGCAAATGCCTGTATAAAATAAAGAAGGAAGTCATATTAACGATATAGAATATAGACAGTATTCATGACGGATTTATCTTAGCTGGAATAACCATTAAAAACTAAGAAGCTATGGATAGATGTGTCATCTTAGTATGGAATTATTTGACAGTATACACCTACGACTTTACTTGAAATCTAACTTAGGATATGCAGGTATTGAAGTGCACCTTTAACCATTAAAATCAGTTGGTAAAATGGTACGATCTCAGCTTCAGTCAGTTCGCGATATACAGCGGCGATGTTTTAACCTTGAATATTTTCTATATCGTCTTTGACTGTAAAGCTGGGTGACACAGAATCGAATCCGTCAGGTAGCATCAGTTCCCTCAAGGTTACAGGTACACGTTGCTGACAAACGCCAAGTAGCACGAAACCTAGGTTCAGAGCTTCCTGTTGAATACCTCCAACCACCATCTGATGACGTTATTGCTTAGAAATAAACCTTAATACTTTATAAAGTGCATAACCGATAAAAATGCAACGCAGCCACCGTGAATAAAAACATCTACTTCAGTATAAACTTTATTATACACGACAACATCCGAATCACCATTCAGAAGAAAAGTCTTTTGTGTCTTGCTGCTACCCATTCATCAACAAATGAATTATGTATTTGGCTTGCAGCCATACTATTTATGTGAGGGATATTAAAACTACCGGATTACAGGAACACCTTGCTACCCAGTGCCAACCAAGGAAAAATCTATGTCTAGAGTATCATGTTGACTATTCACCTACAACCACCGAACGCCACACCAACTCAAGTTTTGGCATACAGATCGTATCAATAACCCCACAACGAACGTAGTTCAAAGCCAAGTATGTAAATATATACTTTGTAAATGAGTTAAAGACTCGTATTAGTTGAGGAAGTATTCAAATCCACGATCCGATAGTACTTCTTGAAAGCCGAGTACGTATCCTAGAGAGGTGTTTTAGACTCAAAGAACCCACTTATCATAACGGTACATTAAAAAATGAAACTTTAGCAATGAAAAAATCACCTACCTGTATAGTGTCCCAAATTTGATATTCTAAATAATCATTGCTAACACTAGATGGATATCCAACAGGAAGAAAAAACTTCTAAAATATATTTTATGAAATTTTTCATTTGATAAACCTTAAAAGTCACCCATGATAAGTGTAGATCAAATAATGAGCTAATTGATCGACTTTGACTTTTCTCCAATGTAAATACACGAGAAACTTCATCACCGTATGATTCAACAAACATTTTTGAAGTCATTGGACAATTATAAACAAGTAACTATCACGTTGTTGTTAATTATCGGAAAAAGCCTCTCAATAAGGTTTATTTATAACTCAAATTGAATATTGTGGAAAACACTAGTCTAAAGAAAGAATATAAAATGAAGTTTTTTCGTGACTACACTAGGACTCATGTTGTTTTTATTCTTGACAGTGCATTAAAAATTATGTTTGTATACATTGGGGTATGATCTTAAGTAGTTACATATTAGAAACGTTTCACAAGCAATAATTCTCTTGAGGCGTTAGGCACTAATTTGATTGATTTAATTGATCAATTACCCTCATATTACACATGATTTAATACTAAATACACTGATTTTTAAAGTAATTTCTGAAATACACCATTGAGTTAGACATCTGGTAAAATAAAGTCATCAATTCCTTTACACAGAAGCATCGAAGTTAGAGTATTCAAATTTGTGCGTCTTTACATTTTCCACTATCTTGAGTGAACATGGAACAGCAGCAAAGTTATTTGCCCGCATGCTTTATCCTGATAAATCTTTGTTAGTGTTGCTTACATCCACATGTGGCCCACTAAGTTGGAACAGAGGTTTCTGGCTAGCCAAAATGATAGACTTAAAGACAATGAGGAGTTTCATAAGTCCCTCTCACTCGGAAAATTCCTCAGTCATAGATGCAAGAATCAAAGTGCTATTACTCAAGGCATAGTAGATATATACTCATCTGCTCAATATATATAAAATTACCTCATTTTACCTGAGATTCTCTTTTATTTATCGGAGTAGTCATCAACAAAGTGTACGCACAAGTGCTAGAACTTCGACTATAGCTCGAATTTCTCTTGTTCTAGTATGTAATATTTTCGTGAGAAGTTAATGTAGGTCTTTTATTTTACTAGCGTTTGCTTTTCAGTGCCAAGGTAATATTCTTGGTTTCGAGTATCGACCAATGTAGGTAGTCTAGTCAATCACCTGCACTAATCCCATTAAATTAGACTTATTTGAAGGCTAGTATATCCCCATTATAAATAAATGTATCTGTTCAATGGCATTGAGTTTGGTGGAACCAGGAAATACCCTTTTATAGAGAAGCCAACTGGTGAGTTGTATTATGAAGTACCTTAAAAGTAGAATACTATTAGATGTAGTACACAAGTTTGAAATAAATTTATTGACTGATTGTGAAAAAAATAAACAACTACATGTAGAAACAAATGGAAACCGAACGGAGGTGATAAACAATAAAGGAAGATGTAGAAAGATACTAATAATAATAGATAAATCGCGAGACATGCGGCAAGACTAGTATGCGAAAAAGCCTCGGTCACCATCAAAGCATGTAGGTAACAGCCATTCAAGGCAATAAATGTTAACCTCAGGTGTTGACATGGTTGTTAAGCCTTATCCTGAAAATTTCTACAGAAGAGGCTGAAATTACATCGCTCAGAAGAGCGTTACTGATAGGGTTGACCAGTAACCTAAACTGTGTTCGCTCTTTGATGCGTGATTCACAAAAGGTTGCATCGAAAAGTGAATGGCGAAGCCCAAGTAAAATGTCTTAATCAGGGTCACATGGAGTGCTCACTATAAACTGAATACTCATAATATATTGTTGTATACCATTTTTAATTGGCCTCAATTACACTGTTTCCCATTGCAGATAATAGTTAAAAATATATGAGATAAAAAACGACAGTTAAAATACATCTTTCGACTTTGTCTTAAGCACTCGAACTTAAAGGCAATCGAAAACTCCTACGCAGTCATGATTTTGTTTAGGCTCTTAACGACCTTGAAGAAGTATTTTACTCTGAGATCACTAAAACGCAGTAATTGAATTCTATCACCACAAGTTCAGTAACTTACTTTAAATAAGAGACTTAAAGCTATCAAGACATGAAACCGTCCGGTGGTCTATAGAAACTTATCTCATACTTTCCTACCTGACTTAATCATTTTCTTTGTCAGCATCCTCTGGATGTTTTACGTTGCGGAAATTTATAATGTCAAATTCATCTTGTCGTATATAAAGCTGACTATGATAAGGAGGGTCGGAGTTGGCAGTCATCGCTACTAGTAACTAAGCAATCAGTACGATAAGATTTGAAATTTTCATTTGACTTTTTGTGGAAAAATACTCCCTTGAACTGGTTACAGAGAAGCTTTTGTTATTTGGCAAACAAGTGACATTCACGTTTCTTAAAAGCCTTAAGAAGTCGGTGTTTTGTGCACATCCCAGCATTTGTTGTGTTTTTATATATTTGCTATATCGCGATGAGAAGTTTAAATTTCTGACGTCTCGCGACTTATCATGAGCCTCTCTTTCAGAGGACAAGATTTCTTGTTTATTGTAACCTTTGAATACCGTTCGTTTACTTGTATGTCAGTAAATTCAGCATCATGAAATAACCTAAGACTCGTATTTACTTGTGGTCGAACTGATTCAATATGTTCCTGACAAACCAACTTTGGTAGGATTTGTAATACTATGTAACTAAAACTAGTTAACTATTCAGAGAACATTCATGACTGATAGTGACTTTGATGATTCTAACAAATGAAGAGACTCATTTAGATACCCTATTCGTCAGAAAATTCATGTTTCCTGATTAAAGACTGTGTAAAACATTAACAAGTTATATCCAATTGTTCATCGCTCGGTTCTGTTGCGTTGTATAGTCCAGAAACCTATTCAGGGTTATTAAAATCCCGAGGTTACTGAAGTATAACTGAACATGAAGATGCCACAGGTATTCGGGGTTTTACAACGCTTTAACCAGCGACGCCTAATATGAATCGAACCCACCAAGTGAAATCAAAATACAGAAGCGAGGAGGCTCGAAGATATATTTGATGGGCTACCAATATATCGAGGGTCGAGTGATCTAGACTGGCTAGCGATTACAGGAGATGTTGAGCACGGCGTTCCCACTCGTGATCTGGTGCGGATGCATGATCGAGCGCCTCCAGCTATGTGAGCCCCTTAAAACTAATGTTATCAGCATCCAGTGTCGAAGACTTACAGAGCTACTTATTTTGGGAATTTATTTACCGCTACAATCCTATTTCGACATTTATATTCGGTGATTTTTGTTGGGATCCACCACAAACTCTAGTCAAACCATACGTCAAGTTGAATGTATTTCTACCTTTGGGGAATGGTCAGTGCATGTTTAATCGTTTACCTAATTTCAAGGTTGAGGACGACGGATGCAAAGTGCTCAGTAAAATTAATTGAACTAGTACATGTTGCAGTCGGCTATCACTGTAAATCATTCATATGTAACTACTTCATTCGTCGTGTGTGCGCACTAAGGGCCTGGTCACCATGTCCATTTGTCTCCAGCTTCTCAACCATTTCATTGTAAAACTGTGACGCAAGATAACTTAACTGAAGCGTCTAGATCACCGACGCTCAGTTCGCGCTACATTAACTATAATTATTTGCCCACATAGTCAAAGTTTGAAATTTAATCGGAAAAATATGTTATTTTTAAGTATTTCAGTTCGTCATATAAGGTCAGTGAGACTATGTGGTGTTGATATAAACAACGCTTGGGAACTAACAGATGTGATGTTTACTAATTGATTGATATGGCTGGACCAAGTCATGAAGTTCAGAATACTTGATAACATTGACTATCTACTGTCGAGGCACAGTAAACAAATAGAATAGTCAGAACAGTATATTATCTAAACCAAAAAGAAAAAACATGATGACAAATTATGTCTACGTCAAGTCGTAAATGTTTAATGGTACTAGTCCCTCACAACTTGATCCTTGGAGCTGAACATACAGTAACTAAGAAGATACACACTAACCACCAGATGCCTGGAGATCAAAATGTGGACACGAGAACATTTGTTCGAGACAGCATGGCTCGGTCATACAGATAAGACCACGCTATTTAGCCTCTTTATGATCATTGTAAGTAGTTGAATTGATATACTAACCGAGAATTTCCAGAATACTTCAATCTAAGGTAGATATAATTCTATGAGCATAACTAAACGTACTATACATGAAATTCGAATTGGCCACGAAATATAGTACGTAAGAGTTATCAGTCGGTACAAATACCACACTCATGTTGTTTATCCGATGGCCACCGTAGATACATTACTCACTACCACTAGAGGATGGGTCATTATTGACAATGATGTGATGTCAACGTACGATCATGGAAATCTCATAGTATTAAACTAGGTCCATTATTCTAGCACCATACATAAGCGCACTAGTACTAGCAGGAACCCAGATACTACAAACACTACTGCTAACATCTTGAGTTGCTGAATGTTTGTTATAATATTTTATCCATAAATTATCGAACGATATGAGTTACTTAAACACTACCACACAATGCTATTCTGTTCAGCGGCGACGAAGTTATAGAAATCAAATAGTGGAGTCCAATTCAACCAAACAAGTATCAATAGTATCGAAATTCCAACCACCTTGACAACAAATATTTGTTTATATTCTACTGACGCCCGCAAAATTTTCAACTTCAATGAAAGTAAGCAGGATTCGATGAAATGCATGAGTCTCACACTCTGGTCAAATAAATCTAATTTTGAAGTACCGGGAATGTTAATCATGAAACTCACATCCAAACGAAATGGGTATAGTTATTATCCAGTCTTTGCTCACCAGAAGTGTCCTAGATTATTTACCTACCATACAAAGAACTTATAAATATACTTGTACCTCGAAGAAGAAATCTGTGAATAATCAACTAACAGCACAGTATATAATAATTTGTATGAAAGCATTCATATTTCAAGAATAATAACAATATTTTCCACTGAAATATCGGCAAGGTTTCACTTTTATAGGTATTATTATGGTACATGGACAGCTCGGAATCAGTTATAAAATTTAGATTTTGCAGATGACATGTCCCTCCTATCCCATGCACACGAGCAGATACAGATGAAGACAACTGTTGTAGCAGCAGCCTCCGCACCAGTGGGCCTCAACATAGACAAAAGAAAAAGCAAGATCCTCAAATACAACACAAAGAACACCAACCCACTTACAAGTGATGGAGAAACTGTGGAAAAGGTGGAACGTTTTACGCACATGGGAAGCATCATTGATGAACAAGGAAGATCTGATGCAAATGTCAAGGTGAGGATTGGTATAGCAAGGGCCCCATTTCTACAGTTGGAGAACACATGGAACTCAAAACAACTGTAAAACAATATCAGGGTCAGAATCTTCAATACGAACATCAAAACAGTTCTACTGTACGGGGATGAAACGTGGAGAACTACTACAACCATCACCATAAAGGTACAAGTATTTTTAAATGGCTGTCTACGCAAGATACTCAATGTCCGTTGACTGGAAACTATCAGCAACAGCCTACTGTGGGAAAGAACAAACCAGTCTCCAGCTTAAGAGGAAATTAGGAAAAGACGATGGAAATGGATAGGACATATATTACGGAAATCACCAAACTTCATCACAAGACAAGCGCTATATTGGAATCCTGAAGGGAAGCGGTAAAGAGGAAGTCCAAAGAACACATTACGTCGGGAAATAGAAGCAGATATGAAAAAGATGGATGGCAACTGGAAAGAGATGGGAAGGATTTACCAGAACAGAGTTGGATGGCGAGTGCTGGTGGGCTGCCTATGCTCTCCCACGAGAAGCAACAGGAGTGAGTAAGTAAGTAATGGGTGATATGACTGTAACCCATAACATGTGTGTGGTATTTAAATAATGATAATTTATTCCTAATAATCGCCAGTTACATGAAGCATGCCAATTTAAGGAATAGTGTCTTGCATAGTCCAGCAGGTACATATTGGTACATGTTGGACGGTATAGCAGACAGTGTTGAACAGTAATAACATTCACCTTTACCAAAAATAGTAGACGCTGACTTTATATCCGTCTTACAAAAACATGTCGTTGCGTCTACGTTAGTGCAGTTTCGATTTCCTTAGTCTCCTGTGACAGTTATTTACTCTTTGTACCACCCAGGTAAACCAATGCAAATCCGTAGGGTTATGGACGGCTCCACTTGAGATTATAATAAATATAAATGAAAAAATGAAAACAAATAGCGTCAGTAAGCCACATAGCCACTGTGTTTTTTTAACAATGATTTGCAGTTGCGCGTAGAAAACACCAAGAATATAAATCGTTAAAGAACACAAAACGTCCTTTTTAATAGAAAAATATATCCCTGTCTAACAAATGACCCAGCCAACGATCATTTAATTCCGCTACTCAATGCAGATACACAACACTTTGTAATAATCATGTTAACCTAAGCTGTAAAATGTCAAACAATTAAATCTTTAAGGGAAGAAGATACCACAAGCATTCTGTAAAAATAATTTTACCGTCAAACAATATATCTATGTCATCAATTTGAGCGGTAACTATTCAACCACAGCCTAACCTTAACACAGTGCTTTAAGACACCAACTTCTAGTCTGAGCCATGTTGGGAGATGCAGACTACTTGGTTGGGGTCCGCGTAACTATCGTAACCAATGGTTGGAGACTCTTGGTGACATGGCTCACAATCGATCACAATGGCGTAGGTGTATACACTCCCTGTCTTCCCTTGAACTAAGAGATTAAAATCACTTCATATCTTTCTTTCTATGAACTAATTCTTTCTTCCTATACTATATCCTTATATGCAATCTTTCTTTTATATATTACCACTATTGACTTAACTACTTTTATGAATCCGGTGTTCATCTTGTTGTGTTAATGATGTATGGCAACTCGGACCGATTCATGTATGTGCCTGGTCCTACGTTGTGGCTGACTGACT